AATCACCCCCACCATGTTCTTCATGATTTGGATTGAAAAGGTAACAATAAAAGCAAAATATGACATCTTTTGCTATTTTTGCTATACTGTATTCCAACCAATCAAGAAAGTCATTAAACCAAGAAGTTTTAAATCGTCTTAATGACAAATCTCCAAATTCTTTCCGTGGACATAAGTGATTTCGAGGCTGACATGGACTCCTTTGTACATATTCTCCTCTAAGTTCGTCCTGAACATTAACATTATAACTCACAATTGGAGTTCTTAATCCAAGATTCGAAGGCAGTTGTGCCAAATTAATTTTATCCTGAACATCTCTTTTTCTCCCATTATCTGATTCTTCCCGGCCATCTTTTTCTTTTTGAATACTCATTTCAACAATAATTTCCTCCATACTCGAACATACGGATTTTCGTTTAAAATATTTCTCCATGCCCGTTAAAAAACAAATTCAATACATAAACTCTCTGCAGTTTTGCTTCAATATATAGCTAAAATTCCCAATTTCCCATTAACAGAAATTAGCAACTAAAATAACAAAACCCCTTTGACTTGGAGAAATCCAATAATTCTCAAAAAACTTACATGGTTAACCTAATCATTCATCGGTTTCTTTAATACATTTCCCTTTCCTCTTTAATTTCCATTGACTTATGACAAAAAATTCAATATGTATACATATATAAACAGAAAATGTATACATCTTAATATGAATAATGTATGAATAAACCCAGAATTACTAAAATGACAAAAACCAATATTATCAAGAATGTTTCCCAAACTCTACAGTAATTTTGATTAAAAGAAGCTTCAGGCTTCAACAATCTAAAAATGCAAGAAGGAACAAGAAAGTAGTATAATCCACAGTTCATATACGGTATACCCAGAATAAACAGAAAAAGCAATTCGAGTAAATTTGATAACACACCTAAAAGGGAGAATGGTGGACTTCGACGGATGGCAGACTGATTGAAGAAGAACAGGGCGGACTTCAGCGGATGGTGGACGCCGTTGACGGTAAACGATTTCGGTCAGGGGCGAATTCAAATTCGAAGAAAATCCGAAATGAAGAAACTGTGCACAGGTATAGGGTTTGAGAATTGGGTTTAATTTTATCTAAATAGCAAATTGGGTTTGGCCCTGAGCAAATGCGCTACTGGGTTGGAGGGTTTTCAATTTTTCAAATGGGCTAAGTGCTAGGTAAAAAAAACTCAAAAAATAAAAAATTGTGGGGTCATTTGACCCCACATGGTTCCACCCCTGCTTCCTTCATATTATAATAAAAACTCTATTCTTTGCAAATTATATTTTTCTTGTGAATTGCTTTATATTGTGCTTATAATCTTGTATCGTCTTCAAAAAATTGGTATCGGAGTTATCCGACATCTTTCGCGTTTCTCAATAGTTGCTATGAAGTTGATACATTCAGGTTTAAAAAAAAAAAACTGTAATATTTTATAGTGATACGAAAATGCAAATGCTCGAGTCTTGTATTCCTTTTTAGTATCAAATCAACTATATGTAGGGAATTTTTTCATATATTCACAAATCACTCGCTTTGTGAGTAGGGCAAAAGTAGAAAGCGGAAAGCTAAAAGACATACATTCCTCACTAATGATATCAGGCAAGAGCCGACTATATCCTCACCCAAGGAATCTCAGATGAGAGACCTAGCCTCCCACTTCAACTACTCTCCATGTACAATCCAATTATATAGATCTAACCAAATGTTAGAACCTTCTCACCACTACATATTACATTCGAGTTCATTTGCACTGCCATGCACGCATTATTAGCATTTGGTAGACACTATCTCGAACATTTCTCTTGCCAAACTTGTCCACAATCTTGAATGTGTGGTTGAAAATGAGATAATTCAGCTCAGAAGTCTAGATTGATACATCATTGTTGTCTCCCGTCAAAATTGGAAAGATGAAACCATCAATTGCAAATGTAACACTTAGTTAACCAACAAATGAGTTGCCAAAGACCTCACAAGTCTCTGTTAGCTGGAATTTGCTTGAGTAACTTAGAGAGGTCATAAGACTTGAAATCTTTCCCATAACATAAGCTCAAATCAAGAGCTGTGTTCCCGTTCTGCAACACATCAAAGAAAAAGGTTGCTGAACCGAAAAAATAAAATTTAGCAGGCTCCCACAACATATGAATGCAATTGTGTATTATTATGGATATGTGTGGGGAAAAATGTATACATACACGCAGATATGTATGTAAAAATTTTTACAAACTTACCTTGTTTCTTCTTGTTTTATCTGCACCATTGACTAACAAAACCTTTACTATGTCTCTGTTTCTAGTTTGCATGGCGACATGCAATGGTGTCCATCCTTCCTGGCAGAAGAAGGGTGTTAACCAAACAGAAATGACATACAACAGTAAACTTGAACATATATTATAAACAGCATTTACGCCAATGATAGATTCCATTGGAAAAATAAATAAATAGATAATCATACTTACGTTATCAGCAATGTTAACATCAACCTTGTATTTCATTAATAGTTTGACAGTTTGCAAGGCTCCAACATGAACAGCGTAATGAAGAGGTACAGCACCATCCTGTTATGAGGATACAAACAATATCAATAATTTTAAAATCAAAATTAAAAAAATAATTATATATCATAGGAAAATTTCTTACCAGATCCCTTGCTTGAGGATTTGCACCTTTTCTTAAAAGATGACTGATGACTGCCTCCTTTTTACCAATGATTGCATGATGCAGAGCCGTCAAGCCATCCTGCATCACCAAGTTTTGCTTAAATAAAAGCTGAACACATAGAAACGTACAAGGATCTATTTATATGCACCTCTTTGATTGGTTTAGACATAATGAACTCTTACCTTATCAACTAGGTCGATATCACACCCATTTTCAAGAAGGTCGTCCATAAATTTAATCTGTCCGGCAAGTGCAAAAGTATGGAGAGGGTTCCACTTTACCTGAGGGATAAAGTTAAATAAAAATGAAATATTAGATCAGAGCAAGAAACCAATTAGTCATAATGTCTTCTTTGTCGATGTACAATTATTTATATGTGCACAATTTTCTTTCCTAACTCAACAGTCTGACTCCATGTGTAGAGAAGCAGATAAAGCACAGGATAGAGTTCCATGTTAAAATGAGGAGTAAAAAGAAATCAACTATTTGAATTTAACCTTTTCCTAATTAATCATTATCATCAATATTTTAAACATTTATTTCACTCAAAATTTAAAGAATACAGTTTACATGATCAAAGAGTTCTAATAGTACCTTTCCAAAACTCTTATATACATGTTTAGATTGAAAAAACTACCACGTGATATAGAAATGATACTGATATCCTATGATGCACCGACACGGACACGTGTCGGATACGCCGACACGCGATTTTTAAAAAAAAGTACAGACACGACACGTCATCGATACGTTGATTAAATTTTTTAAAATTCTTCCTTTATATAGTAAAAATTTAGTTTTATACTTGTTATTAATTTTTCTTGCTTAAATCTTTTAAACATGAGTACCTATTTATTACTTGCGAATAACTTTGAATTAAAAATATATAATATTTCCAATATAAAAAGAAAAATGATTATGGTAGAGAGTTAAAGAAGTGTCGGTATCGACTCGTGTCCAACTCGCTACCCTAGTTGAAGTGTCCGTGTTACAGAGCTAATATCTAATGCAGAACTAATGAGAAGGGAAGTGGTAGTACAAACAAATGATATTGGCAAATTGATTTTAATAAACAATATACATCTGGGGAGTAATGGGAATAAGAAGGAAGGAATATCATATTGTGATATAAATTTTGAATGTTAGGGAGAATATGTATTATAACAAATTGTATAATTCTATGGTAGCCAAAATATTGATCAAATGTAATAGCATAAAGAATGAAATCTACTGATAGTGACTAGTGAAATGAAAGATTCGGTAATAGTAGAGATACATCTATAAACATATTAAGAAAGCGTAAATGGAAAAACTTGTAATATATCTTTGAATTGATTTTAGAAAAAAACAGAGAAAATACTTGAGAATTTTACCTAACAATTCCTTTGCTGCTTTACTTTATGACATCGTAACTTATGACACCCCTTAACTGTAAACGTAGTTTATATTCAAGCCTCATTCTCCTTAAATTTCTTTTTATTTTGACTTATTGGAGTCATCCGACAATGGCATATCAGTTGATCAAGTGATCTGCTACGTTTCTGACACAATCATGAAAGAAGTTACAATGCAAATAAGAGCTCATTTGATATCATTGAAACTTACAGTTGATATTTTCTCCAAATTGGGAGCTTCATTCTGTTCCAAAACTGCTCTTTCTTCTGGGCTCAAGAGCTGCTCTACCTCTGCGAGAAACCCAAAATCAAAATAGCATCATTTTGTACTTACCAGCTCATGTAATCCCAATCCGCTATGAAGAATCAAAAGAAGACCCTAAATTTTCACAATAAATTTCTGATTGTAAAAGAAGAAAATGAAGTAAAAAATCATAATTGAAAAGCATAGTTGCAATATGATTTACGATTCCATACATAGTTTATAATTCAATTCTCTCACCACCTATGTTTTCCATCTCAAAACACACAACTTTGATATTAAAAATATTTTGGACTAAAGACTGTATGCTATACAAGATTTTAACTTCTTTTTCTCCCTTTTAATGTAGAGAAATCCACAGTACTAAACATGCTAAAACGGCATTATAATAGTTGGAAACTTGAGAGAATAGTGAGTGGGATAGGCAGAAATATAGACCTTTAACAAGATCTTCTTCGTACTTGCTCGTGGACATCTCCTCCACATTTTTAGCAGTAGCTTCAGTATGTACTTGTTCTTCTTCCCAGTCACTCTCGAAATCCAAGTCATTCTCTTCCATTTCCACTTTTTCATCATCTGAACCATCGTCATCATTTTCACTGTCAATACCAGAGTCAGGATCTTCCCAAAGCCCTTGATAACTGGACGTTGAATTAACCCTTCCACTCAGGAATCCATTAACAAAATGACCACCAAAATTATTTTCTCTTTCTGGGCACTTGATTGCTGTGGTGAAACTAGAACAGGTGCGAATAACTGGGCATGAAGCTTTAGCCATGAAAACTGGCTTGGAATTATTAACAAGTTGCACTAAAGTAAATGTTGGATTGCCCAAGGAAACATTCATTTCTTATCTCTTCAATCTTCCGCTGCTAGAACAAAAAATCAGAAAAAATAGAAAATTAAATTAGTAAGGCATTTCATCGAGCAGCTTGTGGGCAAGCTGGTAAACTGAACATTTTGACAAATTTTCGGACATACAAGCTTACAACACTAAAACGTTCGAATGTAAGGATTCAATTATGGAGATTATCCTTAATAAAGAGTGAAACCTTGCTAAGTTGCTAATAAGAATTTGGCAGATTCTTGAAGAATAAGATTTTGGAGGTTAAGCCAAAAAATCAGATAGCATGTCTCTTGTGGTGTATTTATCATTTGGGGCTACGAAAATCAAAAGAAAAATCAATGGAAATAGCACCAACACATGGTAGCACTATTTGACATTTTTTTTTTTTTGATAACCGTGGATGTCCGGGCCAACTTGCGCGCACCTCGACTAATTCCACGGGGCCCTGAAATTTACGGCCGGGTACTCACCTCAGTGGCCCTAAGGAGACTCGAACTGATGACCATTGGGGAGCAAATCACTATTTGACATTAAATTTAGCCCCTCTTTAGAGGATATTTTGGAATTAGTCTGGTTTGAACCCATTTTCTAAAAATTACGGGGTTGTTCTCTTTGTCTTTTTCATCCCATTTTCTGTTTCCAATTTTTTAAAACAGTAAAAACACATTTAATTACTTATTTTTAAAAATGATTTTCTAAAAATGTGTTTAAAATTTACAAAGAAAATAGAAAACGTCCAAAATATCGTTTTGGGTGTTTTCAGTTAAAACTAAACCAAAATTTTGAAAATACATTTTTGCTTCCACTGTTGTGTTTACAACAAAAAAACAAAAGAGAGAGAGAGACGAAGCCGTCGGCAAACGCAGCCACAACTAACCATCATCGCACACCACACACCATCGCCACAGCCACAACCAATCACTGTCATAGTAGAGAGAGAGAGAGAGAGATGAGCCGCTGGCGATCATAGCCACAACCAACCACCGTCGCACACCACTCACCCAAAACCACCACACAACACTACCACAACTACAACCAACCACCGCCACAATAA